CAGGAGTTGGAGGTTGCTGTGAGCTGTAATGCCACGGCACTCTGCCCAGGGGGATAGCTTGAGGCTCTGTCTCAAAAAAAAAAAAAAAAAAAACGCAATGGACTCATTTATTCAGCCGCGTGGCTCTGGGCACAGGCCCTATGGTGGGCCTGCAACTGGCTTATGGCCAACTTTTTCACTCTGGTAGCCTTTGTGCAGATAAATAATAAAGATGCAGGCTCAGCGCCTGTGGCTCAAGCACCTAAGGTGTCAGCCACGTACACCTGAGCTGGCAGGTTCGAATCCAGCCCAGGCCCGCCAAACAACAATAACAGCTGCAACCAAAAAATAGCTGGGCGTTGTGGCGGGTACCTGTAGTCCTAGCTACTTGGGAGGCGGAGGCAGGAGAATCACTTGAGCCCAGAAGTTGGAGGTTGCTGTGAGCTGTGATGTCATGGCACTCTACCCAGGGTGACAGCTTGAGGCTCTGTCTATAATAATAATAATAATAATAATCCAGATGCAGAACTGTGGGTGGTGATGTACATGATACCTGCAGTACTGACTCTGCTTGTTGGATTTAATCCTCTTGTCACAGGTAACATTATTTGGAAGAATGTCTCTGTAATACACTATTCTTTTGTGTGGTGTGGGCTGTCAGCCTGGCACGTACCTCTTGCTTCATACACAACAGAATATCTTATATGAAGAAGAAGGCAGGCTCTAATCTTTAGAAAACTGGAGAGCCAATCAGGCTGGGTCTGTAGATGGGAACATAAGCCAAATGGGCTGAATCATCTCTAGCATGAAGCCCAAGGGCTATGGTGAACTCAAGGGAGCTCTCTGGTCGTCTGGTGATTATCATAGCATGGATGAGCCTATTCCACAGTTCATCGAAGAATCCAGTTGTGGAAGAATTCGATTGGTTATTGCCACAGTAATTATTTTCTCATGGGTCTACCTATACATAAACAAGGAAATTCAGTCCTCCTGGCCAATACAATAGAAGACAACTTTTAAACAACTTTAAGGCTGATCATGGTGGCTCACACCTGTGATCCTAGCACTCTGGGAGGCTGAGGCAGGTAGATTGCCTGAACTCACAGGTTCTAGACCAACCTGAGTAAGAGCGAGACTCCCATCTCTAAAAATAGCCAGACATTGTGGCAGGCACCTGTAGTCCCAGCAACTTGGGAGGCTGAGGCAAGAGAATTGGTTGAGCCCAAGAGTGTGAGGTTGCTGTGACCTAAGACACCACAGAACTCTACTGGGGGTGAAAGTGAAACTCTGTCTTAAAAAAAAAAAAAAAATAGGGCAGCGCCTATGGCTCAGTGAGCAGGGCACCGGCCCCATATATTTATGTTGGTGGGTTCAAACCCAGCCACTACCAAACTGCAACAAAAAATAGACAGGCACTGTTGCGGGCATCTGTAGTCACAGCTACTTGGGAGGCCGAGGCAAGAGAATCGCCCAAGCCCAAGACCTGGAGGTTGCTGTGAGCTGTGATGCCATAGCACTCTACCCAGGGTGACAGCTTGAGGCTCTGTCTCAAAAAAAAAAAATCTGGGAGGCACCTGTGGCTCAATGAGTAGGGCACCAGCCCTATATACCAAGGGTAGCAGGTTCGAATCCAGCCCCTGCCAAACTGCAACAAAAAAATAGCCGAGCATTGTGGTGGGCACCTGTATTCCCAGCTACTCAGGAGGCTGAGGCAGAAGAATCACCTAAGCCCAAGAGCTGGAGGTTGCTGTGAGCTATGATGTCACAGCACTCTACTGAGGGCGACAAAGTGAGAGTCTATCTCTTAAAAAAAAGAATCTTGTTAAATATTTTCAGTCAATTTTTTATAAACATTAGGGTAAACAAAAAAACAAACAAAAAAAGGAAAGACAACAAAATGCCTGAATGAGGAGTGGCGCCTGTGGCTCAGTGAGTAGGGTATCGGCCCCATGTACCAAGGGTGGCAAGTTCGAACTTAACCCTGGCCAAACTGCAAAATAAAATAAAATAAAATAAAGCTGGGCGCCTGTAGTCCCAGCTACTTGGGAGGTTGAGACAAGAGAATCACCTAAGCCCAAGAGCTGGAGGTTGCTGTGAGCTGTGACGCCAGGGACATAAAGTGAGACTGTGTAAAACAAACAAACAACCCCCCCACCAGAAAACAGAAATGCCTGGATGAGATGTTAAGAAGGTTAAAGACTGAAGAATGAGAACCATATACAGTTAGACCAGTGTTTTTCTATTTTTTTTGTTTGTTTACAGAGACAGAGTCTCACTTTATTGCCCTCAGTAGAGTGCGGTGGCATCACAGCTCACCCTGTGCTTAGGTGATTCTCTTGCCTCAGCCTCCTGAGTAGCTGGGACTACAGGAGCCCACCTCAAAGCCTGGCTATTTTTTTGTTATTGTCTCAGTTTGGCTGGGGCCAGGTTCGAAACCACCACCCTAAGTATATGGGACCAGTGCCCTACTCACTGAGCTACAGGTACTGCCCTAGAGCAATGTTTTTCAACCTTTTTTATCTCACGACACACCTGAACCTACAGTTCCACTTCCATGGCACACTTAAATTGTGCCAATCAAAAGAAAGAATAAGCTCGTGCCTATAAACCTAGCACTTGGAAGGCCAAGGCAGGCAGATTGCCTGAGCTCACTAGTTTGAGACCAGCCTGAGCCAGAGCGAGAACCCATCTCTAAAAATAGCCAGGTGTTGTGGTGGGCGCCTGTAGTCCCAGGTCCTTGGGAGACTAGGCAAGAGGATGGCTTGAGCCCAAGAGTTTGAGGTTGCTGTGAGCTGTGATGCCTCAGCACTCTACCAAAGGTGATGAAATAAGACTCTGTCTCCAAAAAAAAAAAAAAAGGAAAGAAAGTAAAAACAAGAATATACCTACTATGCTTTGAACTAGTTTTGAAAATAATTTAATTAATGATCTTTAAAAATTTAGGGGGCACACCTAAGATCCTCTCACAGTATACCACTTGAAAATCACTGAGTTAGGGCGGCGCCTGTGGCTCAGTGGATTGGGCCCCAGCCCCATATACCAAGGGTGGCAGGTTCAGACCAGGCCCCGGCCAAACTGCAACAACAACAACAAAATAGCTGGGTGTTGTGGTGGGCGCCTGTAGTTCCAGCTACTAGGGAGGCTGAGGCAAGAGAATCGCCTAAGTACAGGAGTTGGAGGTTGCTGTGAGCTGTGTGACACCACAGCACTCTACCTAGGGCAATAAAATGAGACTCTGTCTCTAAAAAAAACAAAAAGACAGACAGAAAATCACTGAGTTAGGGTTTGTTTTACTTTCACTTCCTTCTCTAAGAAATATTGTATCCAAGCTCCAGCGCCTGTGGCTCAAGTGGCTAAGGCACCAGCTGTGGCATACACCTAAGGTGGCAGGTTCAAATCCAGCCCGGGCCTGCCAAACGACAATGAAGACAGCAACCAAAAAATAGCCAGGCATCGTGGCAGGCACCTGTGGTCCCAGCTACTTGGGAGGCAGAGGCAGGAGACTCGCTTGAGCCTAGGAGTTGGAGGCTGCTGTGAGCTGTGATGCTATGGCAACTCTGCCCAAGGGGACAGCTTGAGGCCCTGTCTCAAAAA